AAGTCAATATACAATGTATGAAATGTAATATCTTTGTTTATATATATTTTATGTACCATATACTGTTTAGCACCAAATACTACACACTGAAAAAGATACTTTACCAAATTACTTTAATTTGTAAGACACACATCAATTAAGCTTTTACAAGTTTAAGTTCAGTTGTGTTCATATAACTAGTTAACTTTCATTGAAGAAACTTAATTAACAAGTTAACAACTATAACATTTATTTTAACAATTCAAATTTTAGTATAGTATAGTAAGTGTAGTAAGTGTGGGTTAATCACATATTTTGTATTAATTACGTAAAAGTATCCTTGTATGCATGCAAGAATGTATCCCTCTTATTTAAAGAAGTATTCAAGTTGAGTTTATCCATCTATATGTCTCTCAATTCTAATTGATGAATCAACACTTCTAGTAACTGTTTCACTCATCCTCTAGCTCACTGCCCATCGTGATGCACAGAGGTATACAGTGTGACAAGGGGAATACCCTCTACCCTGTGGTTCTCTGTTTAAGTGCCTTGAAGCCTTTACATCTGCCAGTCATCTGTGCATCAACTGTGAAAGATCGCCTATTTCCTATTCATGACACGCAACAGGGCATCTGTGAAGAGACGGAGCAGATTCGAGAAGTTGTGGCAATGGGTCTGAAAACTATGTTTAACGACCACTTCCATTAATTTGCTTTATTTACTTTAAATATTTTTTCTTTGAATTTATTAAAAAAGGGTGCAAAACAAAGTTCCAACATTTATGTAATGGATTCCTAAAAACTGAATTTGACCCAAAGTTATGTCTCGGCAGAATTATAAGTCTTCTCTTACAGGGTGAAAAGCATGTCCTCACGACCTTGAAGTAAAAGGAGACTGTTCCCATTTACTTTATAATCTCAGGGGAGTAAAATCGGCCAGTTTACGTCTGTAATGGCTTTAAAGTGAGAAAAACTGAGCAACAGGTATGAAATGTGACAAAGAGGACACACCAACACCTGAAGAAGATACTGCATGACAGAAACCCACTGTCAGCAAAAGCCTATACATTTCCAGGAAATATGTTTTGGAATCCAAGTATATGAAATATCCTTAAGCAATCTGGCAGATCTTCAAAAAGCCATGCTCGCTATGCAAGGAACTGAAGGACAGGGAAGCTGCACTATATGAGCTGAATCGAACACAAGGCTGCTTAGACAAACCTACAAAATATGAATCAAAAGTACCTCAAAGAGCTGGAGACGACGTAAAGAAAAGCACCGCCTAATTGCTCACTCATAGATGCCAAGCACATATTCTGCACTCTCGAAGGCGGCTTTCACATTTTTTGACCTTGATGAATTATGTTTTCATTGACAGCACTTATTGATATTTCTTAAAAGTGCAGGCTAATGGAGTTCTATTGAGATGATTAAATGAGTTGCTGGCGCCCGGATTAGCTCAGTCTCATCTCGCCCGCACAGCTTGCATTATCATACAGAACAGACGCATGCGTGCGTTGAGTCCCAAATTCCTGTGACTGACATCTCCAGGGGAACAGAGAAGCGATGACTGCATCCGACCTACATTCACCCCACCCAGGCATATTTGCTTCTAACTAATTACACACACAAACATGCAAACTCAGTCAAATTTAAAGGTGGATTCATAACAGTAATAGTCACAGTAGAAAAATAACATTACTACTCCATGCAAATTACAAAATTATACAATTTCAGTTAGACGTTATCCTACTTATCAAAACATATAATTGAGGGTTTAAATGGCAATAAACCCTCACAACTGTACAAACTCCTAGTGACCTCCTCATGATAGAAGATAAACTTTTCCCAGGCTTTTGCAAAGGCTCTAATGAAAATATAATTTGTGTGTTAGTTTATGAAAATTAACCAACCACAAAAACATTAGGAACAGACTAAAGTCAACTGGATCTCGTTCAAATGCCTCTGGCATGAAAACTAAGCTTTCTTGGATTTCATTCAAATGTCCCTTATGCAATAAGACGACTTTATATATATATGTACATACATACACAAAGACACACAGACACACACACATTACGCATAATATTTCAGCAGTTTAGATTCTCAGAAAAAACAATGACAGGGAAAACCACCTATTAACAAGAACTGTGAAAAAAATAGTGACGCAGGCTCTAGCCTATGAGCACATCTTTAAACTGGTTTTTCCGCGTTTCCTGTGCATCCTGGTTAGAGTGATGTGGTTTTGCTAGGTTTTGAATGTGAAGGGTATTTCTACAGTTGCAGCCAACATTTAGACCAGTATTTCTTTATCAGTGCAAGCTTTTACTAAATTAGAAAGTATTTGAAGAGCGTCAATCTCCACCAAGGCTGACTAATTCTTTAACTTACCCTTTTACTCGAGGCACCACTCCAGTTATGTCAAAACTAAATCAGCTACACTTGATAATGAAAAGAGAGCCTCATCACTTCGAAATCATATTTCTCTTTCACAGAGGTAAAATCAAATGATGTAGATATTTGATAAAATCTGTAATTGATAATTCTCTGACTAATGACCACCAAAGTGTAAGGTGTCTGAAACATTTAAAAACATAAAAGCCTTGCCAAAAGTAATAGATGAACAAACATTGAATACTGTGCATTTTTTACTCACAGACTTACTTGAAAGCAGCATTAACATTAAGAGTTATATATCCTCGTGAGATAAGGAGAATAGAATTTTTTGCCAAAGAAGAAACTCTGAATTATTAGGACCACTTTATACCAGATCTTCACAACCATGCTACTGTAATATTACATATGATGCAACGTTTGAAAATACTGTGACTGAAATTGCAACCCTGCATTAAAATGTGGCTTTTGCCTCAACTCGGGGCATATTTTCAATAAACACAATCCCTCTTGATGTATGGTGTAATGTTTTGAATTCAAAGAGAACATCTTCCCTGATATAACACAACTTTAAACTGCACACTGACGCTAAGCTTTGGTCAGTTAAGCCCTAATACAACTGAAACAATTTGTTTGTTACACCCTTTCTACACAAATGCACCTGAAAACAACGCACTGGAAATCTCTCTGTCTTGCCAGTGTTGCATTTTGGATGATACTGAGAGAAGAAAGATAGAGAGAAAAAGAAAAAGAAAAAAGAGAACTAACGTTTATGGCTATTTACGCACCGATGCCTGAAGTTTAATGCATTACATAACGTTAAGTTGGAAAAGGAGCAGCGTCAATGTCTAGACTGCAAAAATAAAGATGGAAGAATCTAGCTAGATGTTAAACTTCTTGTACACCAAAATTGGCAGGTACAAGCAGATTTTGAAATGCGGGCAAACCTTCTAAAAAATATAGTATGGTTTACTTTTTTCCCCACTTTGTCTTACTCTCTTAAGAGCCCATGCGATCTATATTTGAAGTTAAAAAGTGGTATCTCTTCAGATTTCACAAGATTTCCAAATCTTGAATGATAAAAATGTTTTGAATCCTTTACAAAATCTTTTGTGTGTCTTGACTATGAAAATCCTGGAATCACCACCTTATTCTAAAACAAAGCCACACAACAGAAGAACTACCACACAACAGCCAAGCTTTAGTGAGTTATCATCATCTTATTATGTATTCATAATACTTCTTATGATGTTATCATGTAGTTCTTTGTGCTGTAACCACAGTCGGACAGTAACTCATTGGGAGTTAGAGCAAAGCCTTAACCCTGCCAGCAGCAACAGCCTGATTCCCACTGAGGCAACCCACTCTACAATGTATAAAAAGTGCAGCCCTATGAATTTGAGTGTCAGTTAAACAGTGTGTCTTATCTGCTGTGATTTCAGGAGGGCTAGTCAGTCACACCCTCATATTTCTGAGCAATTAAGTCAGCGGATGTGCGTAAGAGTTCATCAAGTCCACTTTAAAACACCTAAATGATGATTTACTCATAGCTACTCTCTGGATACTATGAGCAGTTTTATGAACAGCTTAATACTCCTGCAAATTTGATGGTAGGCGGTGTACAAAATGCAGAGCTTAGTCAAAATGCAGGAGTACACAGACTAACAGCACGGATGCTACTGTGTTGCTGACGACTAAATAAGAAATGATGGCGGTAAAAGAGGAAGCAAAGATGGCAAAATAGAACAAATAATTTCCCTACAAAAGGTAAAATCATTCCATTTATAATAACACATGTCTCATTTCTCTCTCACCTACACACATACACGCACACATACAAACACCTCCATATAGCCTGAACACATGCCAGATCTTGTCGCCCCAGGAAATGGACTTCATACATCTTGTCTGACTGCAATAAAGCAGTGCCTTAGATTCTATTTCCAATAAACGTCGACTGATTGGAAAACTCATTCTAATATCAATTTCCATCTGGGCCCTTTAAAAGGCAATCAGCATAGCTTCATCTCGGTATATCATGGGCTCCTTGAGATGATGACACAGCACTGGCTCTCTCCCTCTGCATAATGGCCTTCCCCTATCAAGGCATCTGCAATGAATAATACCACCCATGAATGGGCTATTTAGTCTGTGTTCGCACAGATAGGGGCCACTTCTCTGAATATTAATCCAGGGTTTTACACTTCATATGGTTCTCTCGGGGCTGCACCATTTTTCATTCGAAGGAGTAAGGCACTTTGTGTGATTTGGCATACTCATAGTTTCTCTCTAAGCTTTCTCACAAGTGACAACGGTGATTACCAATGGCATCTCACTTTGTTTAAGATGCCCAGCAACCACAAAACAATCATTTAAGTCAAGGAATATGAATTTCAACTCTTCTGCAAATCCTGTCAACTGATTAGTACAAAATGAAAAAAATCTCCACAAGTGAATAAAGTGACAGAAGTCAAAAGGTCATTCTATTTTAACTTTAAAAAGCACTGACTTTTAAAAGCACTGGTACAACCTAATTATTATCATCTGCATTATGGCACCTTAACAAACCTTTATATTTCGTGATGCAATTAATAAAGGGCAGATGTATTTCATAAATGTCTCTCTTACCTTCCAGCCACTGCCTGCCTCCCTGTAGTAGGGAAAGTTATCACAGATCCACTGGTAGATCTCGCTCAGAGTCATCTTCTTCTTTGGCGAGCTGTTGATAGCAAACGTGATAAGACTGGCATAGCTGTAGGGCGGCTTGCCGTCCTTGTGCTGCTGCACCTCCTCCTGGTCCAACGTGGTGTTAGGATCCAGTAGGGCACTCTTTTTGCCCATGCCTGGCCCATGGGCATTTTGAGCGTCTGCCTTGCGGATGGCCGCCTGCATGGTCAGCTGAGGAAGCCAATCCATGGAAGTCAGGCTACTCTCCAGCTCCGACGTCATGGTGGTGGCAGGCTGGGCAGGAGGGGGTGGGGAAAAGGTGGAGGTGGTTGGTGTTGGTGTTCGCTGACTGATGCTGAGTTGATCCCGTTTGGTAAAACAAACTGAGACAAGAGACAGGTTGGGGATGAAGTCAGGGCTCCCTCAGCTCAGGACATCAGCATAGCATCTTCTGTAGGTCAACTCTGGAGAAAGAGGGAACAGAAATACATTAATTAGTCAAATACTCTTTGTTACCGGCAGCAACTTAATATTGAAAATAAAAAATAAATATAAGATATACATGTAAAGAAATGTGAGGATGCAGCTCAGGACAACATCAAAACCCTATGCCTCTGTAAAGTATGCTTATATTCTCTGTACAGATCACAAGCCCACCACTTTCTCCATCACTTGCTGCTCGCAAAGCTGACTCATAGCTGGGACTCCATCTGCACAGAGAGAGTAAATGCCAGGCAATTGTTTTCACAACTGCCAGCCAAATGGGGGAATGGCTCAGGAGGAATTCCGACTCTCTTGAGGGTAGTAAACCCCCTCTCTTTTCTTCCCTGTCTGCCAGCTCTTCAGCCTACTCCTCTTCCTCCCCCAAACGGAGCCTCTGCCGTAAACAAGCCAGTCAGTGTCGTCTTGCAAATAGTCCTCTGCCCTGTGCGTGTCGACTGTGCTGTGCAGAGTGCAGCCGGCAACAGCCTGTCTCTCTGTCCCTGGCGGCACACTACCCTCACTATCTTAAAATAGAGGGGCAGCGTAAAGCCTAAAGTTACAAATGTAGGTGAACCAGGGCATGTGTGGGGGAAAAAAAATCCTGAGCTGGATGACACTGCAGTCTGGCCGAGGGGAAAAAACAGAAGAGGCGGGAGACTGAGAAATCCTCACCAAGTTGTGGGATTTTTCTCTTGACTAAGCATGCTCACACATGTGTGCTTGTGTGTGCATGTGTGTGTCTGTGTGTGGTTGAGTGGGCTGGGAATACATACAGTCTTGACAGCAGTCAATAGGTCAAATACTGTGTCTTTCAAAACCAGTAATTGTGTTCATTGCCAAATTTAAAACACTTTAAATTTTAAACTCATGACTACCTACTCAGTTTTTCCAGAATTCCATTTCAATGGGTGAATATTAAAGTTTTAATTGAAGTAAGGTCATTCAAAATATTAAACCTATTAAAATATTAATTATAAATTAATAGAGCATTTACATGGAGTTTTTGAGATCTAAAATGTGTTTTAAATCAACAAAAATGTGGTAAGAAATGAAAAACTATTAATGAGTCCCTTTTCTCCTTGTGATGAGTTTCAGGAATAGTAAGAAATTCCTAAATTGGGCAGGCTGAATTGGTGGCAGCTGGTCAAAAACAGTTTGTGGTTGTCCCTTTCAAAGATCTCTCACAGTGGGGGTTAGCTGGTGGCCAGCAGCCAATTCAATATCCGCTATCACTGTAGACGGACAGAGCCAGATGATGAAGGCATTTTTCAGACAGGCATCCAGACAGTATTCTGAGAAGGCAAAAACCAAATTCAGCAGGGGGAGATCATTAATGGAGAGGAGACTTGGTCTAAAACATTCCCGTATAATCAGTGTTGGTTTTCATAGGATGTTGCAGAGTTGTAAATCCAAGTTTTTCTCAGTAAAACATATTTGCATTCAAATGTATTTAATTATTTTGAGTATCAAAGGCTTTTTTTTGTTTTTAAAGAGACAAAGTTAACACTAAAGGTCTAAGTGAGCTTATCTTGCAGCAGGATCCACTCTCCATTTGTATGATCAGCATAGTTCAAACTATGGCCAAATATGCTACTTTTGGCGGGATTGCATAGACTGTGTATAAAGATGAACGATGTGTCTAAACTTCCTTCCACTATCCAGAAATAAGGTAAAAAGATCCTGGATATGAACTCTGCCATCTTGCTCATTTAAAGTCAGATTGGAAGTCCATCTCAACTGTCAATGGTGACATTTCATCCCATTTTTATAGCATCTAATACCTAATTAAAAGCAAACTTTGTTAGCACTTGAAAAACCATCTGGCCAAAAACTACCAGAAATGAATTTGATAAACAGACTTTTTAGTTTGGTCACATCAACTAATATGAAGGAAGCAGGATTTCTGAACTTTATTTGGGATTTATACCCACCACCAGGTGGCGATCAAGATGCATTAGCTTAACTTATTATAAAGTATAAATTGGGAAATACCAAGAAATGAATAAACTATGTGTGTACAAATGTAATCAAGCAAAATTGTGAATGTTTAGGAAAATATTCAGAATTACTAAATAAGCATGAAGCTGGACAATAATGAAGCAGATTATGCTGCACCAGTGTTTCAAAAGGTTTTCAAAGATGCTTTGACAATACCACCTTATACACACTGTGAACTGTGCATTTATTGCCTAACTGACTAGAAACTACTACTCTAATTCAATGACAAGCACAAAAATGATGTTCAGCCACCTTTCATTGCTTTTTTCATGCCTCAAAGGATTTTTGGTACAGTTTATTTAATCTGTCCATTTCAGGTAAGAGCTGGTTATTTACCTTCCTCTGTGCTTTTTTCATCATTAAAACTTGCACCATGTTTGTTCACATAGCTGGAGGCCTTGATGAAAACACTGAAGGCTATAAAGTAACTCTCCCAACCTCCGCAGCCATGAGCGAACTGAGAGATGAGCAGCCTCGCTGACTGACTGTGGACAGGTGAGTCAGTCAAGTTGGAGAGTAGTTCTCATCTCCGTAAAGACAAAGCAGTCAAACAGAAGGTAACTCTTCTCCACCCTGTGACTAAAGTAAAGGTGACTCACAAGCAGCAAATGGCAGTGATTTTCCAATCCATTTGTTATTTTATTGAAATACAAAATATTATTTAAATATTTACCTACATAATTAAACTAAAATATCTACATTAATAAATCAAAAGAACAAAATATTGTACCTCTTATCTTATTGAAGTTCTTGTTTGATGTTTTTCTGAACACATTACAGGGAACTTTCTGTCCAAGACATTTGAAGGCATTGCTTTATGAGTTCACAATTTATAATGCAGACATTAGTCATTAGCTGCAGCCATGGCATAAAATAATCTTTCATTAATCATAATCGAGGTTAAAGTTTGAATTAATTGTGATATTGATTTGAAATAATATTGCCCAGCCCTATTTACAGCCAACAAAATGAGTGAGGATTTAAATCACCCTTTATCTGATGGTGTCTGTTGTAATGGATTGTATTAGATGTAGCTTGTGATCTTAATAAACAGACAGCTCAGTGTTGTGTAAGTTAGTGGATCTTGATCTAAATGTTGCCTCGGACACCAAACGTTGAGTATTAATGGGGGTAAAACAGAGGAGGAAGCAGGCGGAGCCTTCTGGTGGCCGCTGGGGGTGAGCTGACAGAGGCAAGGGTTGATGAAAGGAGCTCCGCCCGTTACACGGAGACACATGCCATTTGACCTTCCATGCTAATGATCCAGCTGCTACATAATCTGTAGGGCCAAGTCAGTGTCTTAATTAGAGAACCTTGAGCTGCAGCAGGCATGATGAAGCACAACACAGCAGGGAGGTAAGGCAGCACTCCTGCTGCCTTCATTACCCTGCCAGGACTGTGGGACAGTCAGAGCAGAGACAAGCCCCAGTCTGCTGCCGCTTCAAGAGGGACTGTCTGAGTATGTTCACCAATGATTCTGGGGGTAAGCAGAGGAGTACTGAGAAGGCAGGGAAGATTAGAGAAAAGCCAAGGGAGATGGAGCAGCAGGGGAGAGTGTGAAGGGCACAACCATGCTGGCATCGGTCCCGGCAGAGAGCTGAAGTACCAACAGATTCTGCATCGAAGAGGTCTAAGAGTTCAGGCTCTGTGATTCAAGCCCAATGGAAACAGACTACGATCCCACACACGGAGCAACTTTGATCTGGCTGTAAGAAAAGGGGGGTTCTGTCAATGTCACCACTAAAAAGAGGAGGAAAAAAAAACGTCTTTCTCTCTCTCAACTTTAATTTAGTTTTTGAATGGAGCGCTGGGAGTATTTAGGCAGGCTCAGAGAGAGAAATAGCTGTTCAAATGTATTCTCCATTCAACACTCAAATTTTCTTTATCCTCCAGGGATTAATGGCAGATTTAATTCTGAATGAGAAAGTGTTTTTGAAACATCTCAATTTACTAAATTCTTGATGGGACTTATCAACGTTCCCACTGCCAAAAGAGCACTGACAGCATATAAGTGATTGTGTACTGTGTCTCAGCTGCTAACTCTGAAGTGGCTCGATCAAGCTGAGAAGCATGTTTATTATATATGTGCCAGGCCCTCTTTTATTAAAGAATGCCCAATGAGGCAACAAGATGAGTAACAACCAGGGATTACTCAAACACAACATAGCAGATTACGTCAACATTATCATGTTAAGCAAGTATGCACTGAGCTGCGAGTCACTAACTGCGTCATAAAATCAGTCATGTTCACAAAATCCACTATTTCAAAATTGATGTCTGTAATAACAAAGCAATTTTGGGGAAGCCAGGATAAAATAAATATTTTAAGTTTGATATTGATACAATGAACATTTAGCTGTCTTCAACAGTTCAATATATTGCCAATAAATTTCAGACCTCTTGCAACAAACTTGTTCTATATACAACAGTTGGTCATGGAGTTAAGAATATATCCCTTCTCCATGCATCATGGAAGAGGGTGAGGTTGTGCTAGAAACATCTAATCTGCTTCAATGATATAACATACAACAATCAGCTACTCAATTTCAAGTGTAATTGAGACAGTATAGATGTTTTACTGTGGCAAGAAAAAGAACATGAATCCTGAATTACCTTGTTTTCTTCATTAATTGTTCATAATATTTAACATAAGAGTAGTCAACCACGACACACTTTAGCTAAAAAGCAATTATAATTATTTGTGTTTTTATTGAATTCACCCATTAAAAATTGTTAAACTCAGTGCTGATGGAAGTAGTAAGTGATTCCTTGGATTTAATAACTGACTTTCTTTGGCATCAATAACTTCCAACAAATCTGGAGATCAGACCTGCACAACGTTCAGAAGGAATCTTGGACTATTATTCACACAGAACTGCTTCAGCTCAGTGATTTTATTAGGGAATGCTAACGACTCTCATAGCATATTAATTTGTTTTTTGGTCCAATGTTATGCAGATATGTAACTGATAATCAGGGTTCA